CAAACATTTTTTTTATCGACTTAACTTTAAAAAAACGAAAATTTCATGTGCCAGCCGTAAATAGATGGAATATATAATAGAATGGAAATTTACAATTTCCGGACCAACTAATCAGTTTAATAACAGTTTTCCTGTTGAAATATAATCAAAAAAAATATACATCCGCAAATATTTAGAGGTTACAGCTGAAGCATATAAATCCCTCTAAATATATCAATATATTATACAACTCATGATTGTTATTTAGTGTTACTGTTGAAAACGTATGAAATAATGTAATTGTTGAAATCCTAGGCAAAATGATAGTCAACACTTTAGGACTTATTTTATATTTCTCATCGTCTCAATCCAAAAACATTTTAATGCCAAACTTGCCTTTTGTAAATTAATAATTTGCTCTATTTTTAAAATTAATACATTATTTCTTTGATTACAGTGTTGCACATAGTAAATGCAATATATTTCTACATAATAATATTTTATATTTATTATTTTTATTACAGGTAGAATTTCATTTGGTTGTTGATAAAAAATATTCGTGTGGATCAAGAACAAACCATACAATTCAATTTAATATTTCTTCTAGTAAAAATACATCAAATATAACTGAAATGAAAGAGAATATAACATTGTTGACACCTTACGACGACAATCTTACAGTAAGTATATAATATTTAATTTAATATTTTGTATAATACGGTGAACCTTCCATATTATAATGCACTAGACAACAAAAAATATCCACGGGAATTATTTAATTTTTTATGGGTGAAACAGTTCAGGATCCATTTGTTTATTTGGTTATCAATTATAGCATATTTTGATGAACAATAAAACTCATTAAATGCAAGTGCATGACAATATTGAAGTTTTCCTAAATTAGCTGAATCATATGAAGTCCAATCGATTTCTATTAAATGCGCCATGTCGATAATTTTGGTGAATGGTACAAGGAAAATTGAGTAGAAAAATTATCAACATTAAAATTATTTAATATGCAAAAACTATTATATTTTCCAATGGAACGCATTCACTTTATTAGTGATTATTGTTGTCACGCTCGATGCTTAATGTAATTGAGGAGGGAAATAAAAAACGTACTATTACCGAAATTGACAAAATGGAATTAGATCGGACTTATATTATTTGTCTCGTCGTCTCAATCAAAAAACATTTTTATTCCAAACTTGCCTTTTGTAAATTAATTATTTTTCTCATTTATTAAACATAATACATTATTTCTTTAATTAACATTGATGTGCATAGTAAATACAATATATTTATTATTTTTATTACAGTTAGAGTATCGGTTGTTTTTACGGAGTTCGGTGATTGATAAAGTATACCCGTTTGGATCAAGAACAAACGATACAATTCAATTTAATATCTATTCTAGTAAAAAGACATCAAATTTTACTGAAATGAAAGGGAATGTAACATTTTTTACACCTTTCAACGATAATCTTGCATTAATTAAATAATTTTTAATTTAATATTTTGTATAATACTGTGAAACTTCCATATTAAAATGCCTGAAGACAAAGACAACAAAAAATATTCTCCATACAGAGAATTTTCTTAAATAGAATCTGTGTATGTATAAAAGTAGAAGGTTAGCACTAAGACCATTTGAAATAGGATATCATCCTAGATCTGGGAAATAACAGTATTAGCAAGGCAGCAAAATGGTTTTGCTAAACGACAATTTACCAAATAACCTAATCTAACCTAACCAAATGACCAATTCACATCGCAGTAAACAAGAACCGTTCTTATATGAAAACTGGCTGTACAATTACTTGTTGAATGTTGAGAAGACAAACAAAAAAAGGTGGGTAAGTGGATGTCAAACAAATGGGTCACTGTAATGGATGGTGTTAAATTTGAATTCAATGATATGATATCATTGTATAAGAAAAACGATTTTGAGGGAAAACGGTCTATCAGCCTATGATATTACTAAGTAGCAAATATATATCAGTATATTATTGTGAATAAAATAATTTATAAATGGTAACCTATTTACGTGAAATCTTGTTTTAAATTTTTAATCCTCAGCTATAAAAGTTGAACATTTTATACATTTTTAACTACAAAATAATTATTAATTTTTAAATTTGATACATTTTGCCAACATTTGAACTTTAAATGCTTATAAAAAAAATTGTGCCCATGTGTGTTCGGTACAGAACTACAACACGTCGCGTACACACTCATACGCGCGTGCGTGCGTTTTTACGCGGCCGCCGCTGAACAGTGCCGTCGCCGACACAGCTGTTTTTTGTCACGACCAACCGTTGCCGCCGGTCGTATCCAAGGTTTATAGATAATACAGGTTGCCTCACTTCTGAATTTACGAAAAAATGAGAGTGGGGGGAATAACGCTCCTGACGTCACTGCCGGAACACGAACACCGGCACACACCGCAAAAAACATGTTTTATGCGTAAACGTTATGCTTAATTTCTATAATTTAGACGTAATTGCTGATTAATTATATTAATTTTATAATTTAGAGTAGTATAATATACAATAATCATGAGTTCCATGAACATGACTATCTACTTCCTTCGTGGATTGATTATTTATCATATGGTGGCCTAATAGTCCCTAGTAATAACTTTAAAAAACACATTTTTAGAGCTGAAAGAGTTTTTAAAAAAATTACCAAGCAGAAAATCCCTAAAGGACCAGGTGTAGTAAAACAACTTTTACATAAAATAATGAATAGAATGGATATTGAAGAAAAGTATAGACCAGTTATACATACATTTGTAAGGCAAAGGATCTTTATTCGTATGAAATATGCAAATAAAAATCATCAAATTTTAGCTTCAAAAAGAAAAGCAAAGTTACAGTTACAAGAACTACAAAAATTGAGAAAACTTATGACTTGAAAATTTATACAGAGTGATTCACTAATAATTATATTATTATTATTTTATTATATAATATTATTATATTATGAATTATATTATATTGTAATATTTGTATTTATATGAAAGAATATTAAAAATGTATGTACACAACTTGCAGATTGGTTTCTTGGTTGTCGTCTTTATTTATTTATTGATAGTTTTCTAATTGTACCTGCACAACATTTTTATTTATTGGTCAATTACAATTGGTATTATGCAAGATAAGTGTAAAATATTTTTTAGAAAGTTGATTTTTCTATCTTCAAATTAATATTTGTTGAAAGAAAAAATAGATCAATCGTTTTTATCAAATTTTAGTTTTGTTAAATTTTATTTATCATGTAAAAATACAAAATAGGTACCTACGACATATTATGTTTGAACTTTTTGTAGTTTTACTAACTTCTGTAAGTATTTTTACCATATTATTTTACTACCAAATGATATACCTATTGCATGCTGAACATAGCTGTTAGTTAAATAGTAGGAGCTATTTGTGATATACAGTGTACTCTCAATAGGTAACTTGAACCTTAATAACTAGAAATTCTCGACATCTCGAACAAATAAAATTCCCCTTCAAGTAACATAATAACACATTAAGGTTTTGATAACTCGAAATTTTTAATAATTCGGACTTTTTTCCCCCAGTGGGCCGTGAGCTTCGAGTTACTGATTTTACACTGTATTAAAAATAAATATATTATATTCGATAATTATTATTTATTATATAATTAAACAGCTGGTAAATCAAATGAATAATTCCTTAATAATTAAGTTATCAAAATCAAAAGAAAGTATGTAAAAAATGATTTTATTAATTATTATACTGTTGAAAATAAGTAAATGATACATTGTACCGCACTACGGCAGTCGATTGTTCCGGCAATGACGTCAGTAGACGAGGAACGGTACGGGGGGAAACGTTTTGTTTACATGACTATGAGGCAACCTGTATAATCTATAAACCTTGGGTCGTATCAGCCGTCGTATCAGCCGACGCGTTATCTCGTTTTGTTTTGAATACGTTTGTTTTGTTTTTTTGCTCCGTCGTTGTCGCCGTTGAACCGTTCTCGCGTGCGAGTACGAAAGCCCCGTCTCGTGTTTTTCTTTTCCCGTTCATATCATGGTGTTGTTGTCCGCTTTTTCTTTATTTGGGATGACGAAAAACGAATGAATGCGACCCGGTATCGTCCAAAATCGCGTCGTGTTACGCGTTCCTGTAAGTTGTGTATATTCGTCGTCGCGAACCCACACGGTCCGACCGTCAGTGTCGACGTACCGTTTTCAGTTTTGCCGGGCCGATCACGCGTTATCGTTATTGCGACGTACGTGCCCGCAACCACCGCTTTCCGTTTTGTTTGTTATTTTTTTGCCTTTGAGCGCCGTCCGATTTACAATCGGATGTGCTGGTGTTTGGTGTCAGCGTATCCAAACTGCCGAGTTCTTCCGGTCTAACCGCTGAACGCTCAAATGCAACGTCGTCGCACCCTTAATTTGGCGTGCTTGTCCAACGTTTGTTTGTAATCGTGAGTCTCCGTCACGCACGCACAGTCTGCGACACCGCCGTCCACAGTTCTCATCGTCATCAGCCAGCAGTGCTATCAACTTTCGCCGTCATCGTCCATGTTTCACCAGGTCGACCAGGTCGTACCTACTTAATTTATTGTCATCAATGTTATTGTTAGTAATTAAGTAATATTAAGTGGTTCGAACCCTCTTTTATTTTGTTTGTATTCAGAATACATTTTTCTTTGTTTGATCACCTTATTTGGAGTTACAATATCTTTTACCTACTTCTATTTTTCCTTCCCTCATACAGTCCACTACAAAAAAACGGTTTCGTGTGCAGCCCACTCGCACACATTTTGGTCCTTCGAACCGGATACGAATTGGTTTATTGTGTATTTTCGCTATCGTAGACCGTCGTTATCATAATTAATCGTACCGTGTAAGTGCGTGCGCCTGTGAGTCGGGATCGGGCGTCCTTCGAAAACGTTCACGTACGGTTATACTTTTTACAATGCCTCTTTCTGCCGGTGAAATTGAGCTTAAGCTTTAGCGCACAATCGCTAAACGCGATATGTTAGTGTCACAAGTTCAATTGTTATGTGATTTGGCGCATAAGGTTGCAACAGATAAGGATGTCCTGCCGTTGTTTCGCGCTAGGAAAAAGGACATTGGTGGTTTGCGCACCCAATGTTCGCTCGAGCAAGACTCTATTCTCGATATTTTGATTCAACTCCAACGCGAGGAAGAGTATAACTCAATTCATGTACCTATTGGGAACAAGCTGTCGGAAAACTATTATCTGATTATGGCGATTTCCGACGACGTTCTCGTCGAACCTTCTGTGCGTTCAGAACCAACCGGTGTTAATACCGCGCGCATACAGTCGCGCATACAGTTACCAAAAGATAGAATTACCTTCATTTGACGGTTCGATATTAGAATGGCGATCTTTCCGCGACATATACATATCTCTTGTACACAATAATGAGAGTATTGATGACGCGGAACGTTTTCATTATTTAATTTCACGTTTGTCTGGTTCTGCGCTGTCAGTTATTAAATCCGTGCCTCTCACTGCGAAAAATTATGTCATTGCGTGGGGAGCACTGTCGGATCGTTTCGACAATACACGATTATTAGCCTCGGCACATCTAGACAAACTTTTCGCTTTTAAGCCGATAGCTCAAGAATCGTTACCCGCGTTAATGGAATTTGTCAACACTTTCAAAGAAAATGTATCCATTATAAAATCCATCGGTGTCAATGATCTGGCCGGGTTTTTACTATTTCATATGGCATCGCGTGTGCTCGATCCAACCACACTACGCCTATTCGAGTCTAGTATATCTCAATCAACAATTCCCGAATTTGGTGAACTATTAGACTTTGTTCAACAGCGTTGTAAGATTTTAGAAAATCTTAAGCTGAGCAACAAAATCGAGAATAAAATCGATCGCGTCGATAAATGGCGCGAAAAGGCGCCCGTTCGTGGGAAATCAACCATTGCAACAAAATCCGTCCTTGCTGCGACTACGTCTTCGCCAAATAGGTCCTCTATTAAATTCGTTTCGAGAAACTGTGTGTTTTGTGATCACGCCGATCACAACATATATCAATGTCCAAAGTTTAAAGAGTTATCTGTTGAAAAACGCCGCGATATTGTTGTTACGCGAAAATTATGTTTCGCATGCCTTAATCCGACACATATGGTTAAGGCCTGCTCGTCAAAAAGTGCCTGTCGTTCGTGTAGCAGCAAACATCATCATTCCTTACTCCATCTTACTTCTTATAAGTCATCGACCGCGGAGACCCCGTCAACATCTGTAAACGAAAATACTACGTCATTCGTGGGTGCAGCTCGTGCTAACTCTACTGTTGTGCTAGGCACCGCGATCGTTCACATTAAGGATGCGTGGGGACCACTCATGCAGTTCGTGCACTTTTAGACAGTGGCTCTCAACTTTCAGCCATGACAAACAATTGCTCAGCTCGACTTGGGTTACCCCGAAATCGTTTCCAGTCCAACATCGTTGGACTCGGACAAAGCCCTATTACTCAAATTCAAGGTGTCACTAGGTGTCAATTCACTTCACATTTTGATTCAAAATACGTGTTTCCCACAGTAGATATGGTTGTTTTACCGCACATCACGGCAGCCATGCCGTCCAACGTACGTCATCGGTATCGACATCTTTTACTTGCTGATAAGCAATTCGACGTCCCAGCGCGAATCGGCGTCCTCTTTGGGGCGGATGTCTTTCCTAACCTCATTCGTTCACAAGCTGGCGTTGAACATTATGCGGGCTTCCCATCGGCTCTGGACACCAAAATTGGTTGGATAATCTTTGGATCCTTTTCTACATCAAATACCCCGCCGTTAGTCGCTCTTACAACCGCCGTCGATCAGTCAATCAACGATCAACTGTCACGTTTTTGGGAAATCGAAGAACCTGCCGCCTCTGTAGCACCCACCACTGAAGACCAATGGTGTGAGACATTTTTTAAAAATTCTACGTCACGTGATTCGTCAGGCCGATTTTGCGTCGCCTTACCGTTTCACGATTTGTTTACCAATTCGGTCCACCTTCAAACTTCGTCACCTCACGGCCTTGGTGAGTCTCGGTCCATCGCGTTAAAGCGTTTTCACAACCTGGAGAGACGGTTGACTAAGGACGCGGAGTTGTATGCCGCCTATCGGCAGTTTATGTCCACATACTTAAGGTTAGGCCACATGGTGTTAGCTCCCGAACCCGGCAAATATTTTATACCTCATCACGCCGTACTCAAGGCTGACGGTGACATGTCGAAAATACGCGTTATCTTCGATGCCTCGTCTGTTTCTTCGTCTGGTCGTTCCTTAAACGACGTTTTGTGCACTGGTCCCAAACTACAAGTGGACTTGCGTGACATCTTACTACGCTGTCGGTTGCACAGATTTATTTTGACAGCCGACATTGTTAAAATGTACCGGCAAATTTTAATCCGTTCTGAAGATCGCGTCTTTCAACATGTATTTTGGCGCGATTCACCCAGTGAGAATCTTCAGGAATACCAGTTATGTACCATCACATATGGCCTTAATTGCGCTCCGTATCTGGCCATCCGTTGCTTACACGAGCTTGATGAGCAGGACGGTCATCTCTTCCCGTTGGCCAAATGTGTCCTCAATCGATCAGCTTATGTTGACGACATAGTTGTCGGTGCCGACACGGAAGAGCAATTTCTGCGTCGAAAAGAGGCAATCGTCGGTTTGCTCCACAACGGGGCTTGTGAACTGAGCAAATGGACCAGCAATAGTGCTCTCGTCCTAGGGTCCATCAGTCCTGACCATCGTGCGAATTCCGTATCATTTGACCCACGGGATGAACATTCGGTAAAAGTTCTTGGGCTACATTGGAACACAACTAATGACAATTTCGCCTACCATACCAGCATCCCTCAAACGTCGTCTACCAAACGGCAAGTTCTGTCAATCATTGCACGTTTGTTTGACCCCATCGGCGCTTTAGGCCCGTTGCTATTGTGGGCGAAATATTTTATGCAGTTACTGTGGAGCAATAAACTTGGGTGGGACGATCCAATGCCAGAAGAGTTATTGTCCACGTGGCGACAATTTTGTTTGGAGCTGCCAGCCGTCTTTGACTTAATTCTTCCTCGTCATTTTCCGGTGACATCTCAGCAAGACATTCAATTGCTAGGTTTTGCAGATGCTTCTACCAAAGGTTATGCAGCGACCATTTACCTACGAATTGTCAATGCAGATGGAGATGTGTCGGTCAAATTGATCACGTGCAAAACTAAAGTTGCCCCTCTTAAGACTACCACTACCACCGAAACGTTGTCCATACCGCGTTTGGAGTTATGTGGTGCGTTACTACTGGCACAGACGCTTCAACATACCCACTACGTCCTTTCGTCTGAAATATCCATATCTCGCATCCGAGCGTGGTCGGATTCATCTATTGTGTTGTCGTGGCTGAAATCAGATCAGAAATATTTCAAGATATTTATCACCAATCGAGTCGCGAAAATCCACCGGCTTATACCTGATTGTGAATGGAATCACGTATCGACAATTGACAATCCGGCAGATCCTGCCTCTCGCGGGCTTTTGCCGCGATCGACCATGGCATCAAAAATCTACTGGGACGGTCCCGACTTTTTACAGCTTCCGGAAGAACAGTGGCCAAAGTCCAAATTCTCTCCATTAAGTCCGGATCAGTTGCCCGAAACTAGACCTAATGTCACCACAGTGTTAACCGTCAATGTTCAATCACCGTCGCTAGAGTTGTTCAGTCGTTTTTCGTCACTCAGCAAATTGCAACGAGTTTTGTCATTTGTCCTCCGATTTTTGCGTCGTCTCCGTCGCCAGTCTGTCAACTTTGGACCGTTGACATTAGCGGAACGCGAAGCAGCATTATTTGTCGTCGTACAACGGACTCAACAACACCACTTCTCGGATTTGTCAAATATGTTAAAAACCAAGTCTGCGGTTACACCACCCTCCTTGGCGCAACTGGCGCCTTACACCGATGTCAACGGAGTCATACGTGTTGGAGGCCACCTACGATTTTCAGACGTCCATCATGAAGCGAAGCACCCGATTCTTCTGCCTCGATCATCACATCTCACGGACTTGTTGATCAGACATTATCACTTATCCTTTCTTCACGGTGGGCCGAAGTTAATCATATCAATGTTAAGCCAGAAATTTTGGATTTTGTCCAGTCGTGCCGCTGTGCGACGTGTCATTTTTTCCTGTGTCCCATGCACACGACACAAGGCCGTCCGGCCCCAGCCAACCATGGCTGACTTGCCGCCCTTTCGTGTCCAGCCTCATCGACCATTTTCCCACGTCGGAATGGATTACGGTGGTCCGTTTCTCGTGAGGGAGCATCGCCGACGAAACGCTCAAGCCGTCAAGGTTTACTTGGCATTGTTTGTATGTATGTCTGTGAAGGCGGTTCACCTTGAAGTCGTCACCGATTTGACCACAGATGCCTTCCTTGCTGCATTGGATCGTTTTGTTGCGCGACGCGGAATTCCAACCAACTTGTATTCAGACTGCGGAACAAATTACGTAGGTGCGGCACGGCACATCAAGTCTCTGTTTCGTGATGCTAAGGCACAAGACCGTTTGTCTTCGCACCTAACTTGTACATGGCACTTCAATCCTCCGGCCGCACCACACTTTGGTGGCATTTGGGAGGCTGGCATTAAGAGCGCCAAGCATCACCTCAAACATGTCATAGGCCAACAAGTAGTCCAGTCAATGAATGACCCAAAATGAGGTGTAGAGTGCGTGAGCAGGTAACTTAGCGATTCCTTCAGAAACTTGTTCGGGGGGCTTAGGGTATTAACATACTAAAAGTCCTGACACCTAAGTGGTGAGCCGGAGGGGGGGAGGGGGGTTAAAGTTGCGCTTTTTGGGTTTTTCGCTTATATCTCGTAAACGGTGCATCGGAGGAAAATTTTTTTAAATAACAAAATAAAGCTCATGAAATTATCTAAAACTTTTATATCGTATGTTTTTTTCGAATTCACAACCGTTTTAGAGCTACACCTTCGAAAAAAGTAGAATATTACAAAAAAAACCATTTTACCTCACTATATTCATAAAACAATCCATCATATTATCTACCATATTCGTTTTTTTCATTTTTTACTCTGCCACCCCTTTCCTTGGATGACCCTCCCTCAAAAAACATCAAGATTAGGGCATTTGTGTTTATTAAAAAATTAATATATGCATAAATTGAGTTTTTTAATTTTTTTTCAATTTATTCTTGCAATAAAAATGTTATACAACATATTATATTACATATTCTACTTATTACTTATTTAAATTTAAACTACATCACCATTTGTTCATAAAATCATAATTTCCATCCAACTTCTAAAAATATTAATAGCGATTATAAACTTAATGATAGACTATATTATTGTTGGCTAGTAATAAATATAGATATAAATATATAATAGTAAATATTTGGAAATGTTCGAGTGTTCAACTTGTCATTCCGTTACCCGTATGTCTATATAATATTACTAGCTGATCCCCGTGTACTTCGTCTCCCGATAAATGTATCAACTCAATATGACTCAAACTTTGTTCAATTCGTTATTCAATATTCGGTGTATGGTGTTCAAAATTTATCTTATCTTTTCCGTTGCCCTTAATAAAAATTCTGAATCTCAGCAGTACATTATCAGGTAGGCAATCTACCTGCGTAGATCGCGGACCCCGTGCTGTTTATACGGAAGTGTATGATTTAACTCTAAAGTATCAAAGTTATACCAAGTTTATTTTGATATAATACGGTGGATTAATATAACACATTTGGTTGCTCGTAAAAAATCGCAACTCTTAAAAAAATTATGATTGTTGAACTCCTTTTGGGTGTAACTTGCTGCGGTAAGTGCAACTCAGCCACCTTGGTAGGCAATGTTCAATATTTCGATTTGATGCAAGCTTGTACCTGATCTGCCCGAATAACCAATGGCAACCAATAAATAAATACTAATTTCTACTGTAGACTGTAACCAATGGCAACTATTAATAAATAAAAATAAAATTTCCAATTTCCATCGTGAATCTCAATGTCCCTGTTTGAGCACCTATTTAAAATGCGAATTTTCGAAAATCCTTTCTTATTGCACGGTGAAAATAGGAGAAGAACCTCTATTCCAAATTTCAAGTCCATACGTTGAGCAGTTTTTGAGATACAGCGATCAGTGAGTCAGTGGTATTTGGATTTTATATGTATAGATAACTAATTATTGACTAACATTATCGGACTTTATTTATGCCTAAAACCTGCTCCGTGATATGATATTGTATGATTGGAAAAAGTGGCTGCCGGAAAGCAATGCTGACTTGTTCTGCAGCGTGCCTCCACTGCCAAGGTAAATGCATGAACAGCGTGCCTGTTGAAGATGAGGACGATGAAGAGCAAGAGGCACCCATTACTACAGACAAAGATGCAATGGATGAACAACCTGGGCCCTCAAATTCAAAGAAAATGAAAATATGATTGCATGTAAAATTAAGAATTACTTGAGAACTACTTATCTGTAAAATAAAGTGTGTATTATCATTATTTTTGTCTGTTTTACTTCTTAAAAGTGTGGCCACATATATTATTACATAAACGAACAAAGGTTGTGGGTCAAGAATATGATATATACATTTTCTGAAAATTGCAAAATGTTATGAAAGTTGTAAAATAGCTATAAATTTAGGCAGCTTGGAGATTAACAATTAATATATGTGTTATGTGTATATATTCTGAAAGTGAATTTAAAATTTAAATATCTACAACTTCTTTTCTATGCATATTTTTAGTTTATGAATAGGTTTAGACAATATGATGGATTGTTTTATGAATATAGGGAGGTAAATGGTTTTTTTTGTAATATTCTACTTTCTTCGAAGGTGTAGCTCGAAAACCGTTGTGAATTCAAAAAAAACATATGATATAAAAGTTTTAGATAATTTCATGAGCTTTATTTTGTTATCTAAAAAAATTTTCCTCCGATGCACCGTTTACGAGATATAAGCGAAAAACCCAAAAAGCGCAACTTTAACCCCCCTCCCCCCTCCGGCTCACCACCTAGGTGTCAGGACTTTTAATATGTTAATACCCTAAGCCCCCTGAACAAGTTTCTGAAGGAATCGCTAAGTTACCTGCTCACGCACTCTACACCTCATTCCTTGACTGGACTAAAGTACTTACGTACGAAGAATTTCATACCTTGATCACTCGCATCGAAGGTATACTCAACTCCAGGCCTATCACACCGACATCGTCTGACCCGCATGACTTAAGTGCGTTGACCCCGGGTCATTTCTTGATCGGACAGCCCATCCATGCACTTCCCGAACCCGATACCACTAATATAAGGATCAATAGGCTGAATCGATGGCAACTCATCAAGCAATGTCACCAATCGTATTGGAAAAGATGGTCTCGCGAGTATTTGTCCACACTTCAGTCCCGTCACAAATGGTTCAAACAGTCTCCGAATTTGAGAATCGACGATCTGGTAATTGTAGAAGCTCCTTCTCGGCCACCAACAGAATGGCGTCTAGGGCGCATAATCGACGTTCACCCGGGCTCCGACGAAGTCGTTCGGGTCGTCTCTGTGCGCACCCAGGACGGTGTTTTCAAGCGTCCGGGCGTGAAGCTTGTACGGTTGCCTATCGAACCGTGACCATGCTTTTCCATTTCCGCGATTTTTTCCTTGTCTTAAAAAAAACCACTGTATTTTTTATTTTTTATTTTATGTATGTGTAACTGTTAGGAAGATTACCACTTGGTCGACCGCGAAACTCAAAAAAAAAAAAACCAGTCTTTAAGCTCGGCTTCATTTTGAAAGTTCTTCGTCTTTCAACGTGGGGAGAAAAATGTTCGGTACAGAACTACAACACGTCGCGTACACACTCATACGCGCGTGCGTGCGTTTTTACGCGGCCGCCACTGAACAGTGCCGTCGCCGACACAGCTGTTTTTTGTCACGACCAACCGTTGCCGCCGGTCGTATCAGCCGACGCGTTATCTCGTTTTGTTTTGAATACGTTTGTTTTGTTTTTTTGCTCCGTCGTTGTCGCCGTTGAACCGTTCTCGCGTGCGAGTACGAAAGCCCCGTCTCGTGTTTTTCTTTTCCCGTTCATATCATGGTGTTGTTGTCCGCTTTTTCTTTATTTGGGATGACGAAAAACGAATGAATGCGACCCGGTATCGTCCAAAATCGCGTCGTGTTACGCGTTCCTGTAAGTTGTGTATATTCGTCGTCGCGAACCCACACGGTCCGACCGTCAGTGTCGACGTACCGTTTTCAGTTTTGCCGGGCCGATCACGCGTTATCGTTATTGCGACGTACGTGCCCGCAACCACCGCTTTCCGTTTTGTTTGTTATTTTTTTGCCTTTGAGCGCCGTCCGATTTACAATCGGATGTGCTGGTGTTTGGTGTCAGCGTATCCAAACTGCCGAGTTCTTCCGGTCTAACCGCTGAACGCTCAAATGCAACGTCGTCGCACCCTTAATTTGGCGTGCTTGTCCAACGTTTGTTTGTAATCGTGAGTCTCCGTCACGCACGCACAGTCTGCGACACCGCCGTCCACAGTTCTCATCGTCATCAGCCAGCAGTGCTATCAACTTTCGCCGTCATCGTCCATGTTTCACCAGGTCGACCAGGTCGTACCTACTTAATTTATTGTCATCAATGTTATTGTTAGTAATTAAGTAATATTAAGTGGTTCGAACCCTCTTTTATTTTGTTTGTATTCAGAATACATTTTTCTTTGTTTGATCACCTTATTTGGAGTTACAATATCTTTTACCTACTTCTATTTTTCCTTCCCTCATACAGTCCACTACAAAAAAACGGTTTCGTGTGCAGCCCACTCGCACACAATGTGTTTTCAATATTTTTCAACTGCTATTTTAACAATATATCAAGAGTCTTGCATTAAATTGTCACGTTTTTTTAAACAACAAATACAATTTTATAGATATTTATAGAAAAAAAACTAAAAGAATTGAAAACTGACAATGTCCTTAAACAGCTCAAAAAGAGTCAAAATATTTTCGAAATGTTATGGTGTATATAGAAAATTAAAATATAAACATTCAGTATAATTTCCATGTATTTATACTTTTGGATAACAAAAAAATAACAAAATCGCTTCATGAGAAATCGAGTGAATATGCAATATTGTAAAAATATGAACTTCAAACGCTATGAGTTTCTAACTCAAAATAATTTGCAAATTTTCGTCATCTTTACGTATTTTAATAATAATAATAATATTTCTTTATTACGGAAATAAATTCCAATTACAGTTTTTTTTTTTTTCATATAATATATTGTACACGTACATTAACAGTAAAATGAGTTATATATTACAATAATTTTAATAACAATGATAATAATAATAATAAAAAAACATATAATATTTGAACTTTAAATGATTATAAAAAAAAATTGTGACTGGATTTTTAATTTTTTTCATCTGCCTTTGAAACAACATACTAGGAGCCTTGGTTCGGCTGGACCAATTTGAATGAATTTTTTTGTATGCGTTTGTGTGACGCCCTGGAATGTTTAGAATCACAAATCATTCCAGTAGGTCCAACCAGTGGATGTGCTCAAACGGAGATTTAGAGATTTACAGTGGCCATTTTTGTTTATAAATGGTTGCCAATTTGCAATGGGTCTTAAAGCTATCATAATAATATAATAATTATTGGTTGCGGTGAAATCAGTGTATTCATTCAATGCATTAA